AACCACAGACCACCTACTGAAATGCAACCTGAGCCCTGCCACATGCATAATGGAGGACCTTCTCACAGCGACACCAGAAGGCATTCCAAGTGTCCAGCTTCTGATCAAAGGACATTTAGTATAATGCAAAGTTTTTTTTATTTTGTCTGAGTTTGTAAATCTATATATATATAAATGCTCTGTGCCTTATGAGTACCTTAAAAACAAAAGAACCAATGAACAAAATCACATCAAATTTGGCAACAAAACGTCTCATAACACAAGGAGTGACCATCACTCAAAAATTATGATTTTGTCATTTGGGAGCTGTAGTTGCTGGGATTTATAGTTCACCTACAATCAAAGAGCATTCTGAACTCCACCAACGATGGAATTGAACCAAACTTGGCACACAGAACTCCCATGAACAACAGAAAATACTGGAAGGGTTTGGTGGGCATTGACCTTGAGTTTGGGAGTTGTCGTTTACCTACATCCAGAGAGCACTGTGGACTCAAACAATGATGGATCTGGACCAAACTTGTCACAAGCACTCAATACACCCAAATATGAACACAGATCGCATTTGGGGGAAATAGACCTTGACATTTGGGAGTTGTAGTCACTGGGATTCAGTTCACCTACAATCAAAGAGCATTCTGAACCCTACCAACGAAAGAATTGGGCCAAACTTCCCACACAGAATCCTCTTGACCAATAGAAACACTGTGTTTTCTGATGGTTTTGGTGACCCCTCTGACACGCCCTCCCCCAGTATCACAACCCCCAGGTTGAGAAACACTTGTGTGAGGGACTGTGAACCAGCCTACAGTTTAAAAAGTTTGGGGACGCCTGCTATTAGTAAACATTTAAAGTTAGCAAACTTCATCAGTCTCCCTTGCATGTTTTTGAAGTCAACAAGGGAACTCAGGAAAGAAAAGCAGAGAAACTGGGACAACACTTGGTGTGGTGGTTTACAAAAGAAATGGTAATATGTCCTCAAATGCACTTTAACATTGATTTAGGATTGCCTACGCGCCCTCACCTTTCTTTGAAAACCCGATCCTAGTTATACCCTACCTTGTTCATGCCCAGTAGTATGTTTTAAATTTTAAATTATTACATTTGGCCCGGCCATAGGTTTTTAAATGCTTTTATGTTATTGTTTATTGTTTATTTTTGTTTTGAGATTTATTTTACTGTTTTGTATTGATTATTTTGTTATTGCCTTCATTTTATTGATGTACTGCGGGCTTGGCCTCATGTAAGCCGCACCGGGTCCCTTGGGGAGATGGTAGCGGGGTACAAAGAAAGTTGTTTTATTATTATTATTATTATTATTATTCCTAATAGTTTGTGTACTTTTTCCAGAATGGGCTAACACAGTGGGAAATACTAATTTGCAACAATACAATGGGACAGAATCTCCTCTCCAATGCCTCTCACAAGATGTACGGTCATGTCCAAACACTTTCCGCAAACAAGCTCCCTCATCTGAGTTCAGGCAACCACCTTTCTTTCTTTCTTTCTTTCTTTCTTTCTTTCTTTCTTTCTTTCTTTCACATCACATCTAAATTGCGCTATTACTAAAGCACTCACCTCCCTACTAGGGGAAAGGCGGGGGAAGGGGGGAGGTAATGCTAGCAGCTGGTTTCCTTCCCTCTTTTTGCAGCTGGCCAACCTCCTGCACTTACTTGGAGGGTGACAGCAAAGCATGAAGCGAGTCTGTGGGGACCAGAAGAGACAGGTTTTCTGCTGGCTCAGAAGCCAAAACTCACCACAGAAGATCCATTTTCTAATAAATCACGTGTGCGTTTCGGTCCAAGGGCACTCAAGGTGATTTACAAAGGATTAAAACAGGAAAAGATGGGGGGGGAGACACAAAACAGAAGAAACAAAGAACAGCACCACTATGACTACACAGGCAACATCTACATGAAAAAGTTTGTATCTGCAGCTAAGGGTACATCTTCACTGTAGAATCAATGAAGTCTGATTTAGGTGACATAGTTCAATGTCATGAAATCATGGAAGCTGTAGTTTTAAAACAGTGGCTCTCAACCTTCCTAATGCCCCAACCCCTTAATACAGTTCCTTATGTTGTGGTGACCCCCAATAATAATAATAATAATAATAATAATAATAATAATAATAATAATAATAATAATATAAACTTTATTTATACCCCGCCACCATCTACCCAACGGGGACTCGGAGCAGCTTACATGGGGCAAAGCCCAAACAACAAACTACAATATAACAATACAAATTGCAATAAAATAAACAACATAACATTAAAATGTAAAACATCAAAACGAATAAAACAATATACACAGAACATAGGAACCAAACATAATGACAGAGAGCGGACAATGAAAATAACATTATTTTCATTGCTACTTTGTAACTCTAATTTTACTACTGCTATTTATCAATGTAAATGTAAATATCCAATATGCAGGATGTATTTTCATTCACTGGACCAAATTTGGCACAAATACCCGATACGCCCAAATTTGAATACTGGTGGGGTTTGGAGGGGGGCAACGACTGATTTTGTGATATCTGGGAGTTGTAGTTGCTGGGATTTATAGTTTACGTACAATCAAAGAGCACTCTGAACTCCACCAATGTTGGAATTAAACCAATCTTAACACACAGAACTCACATGACCAACAGAAAATACTGAAAGGAGTTGGTGGTCATTGAGCTTAAGTTTGAGAGTTGTAGTTCTACATCCACAGAGCACTGCGGACCCATACAATGATGGATCTGGACCAAACTTGGCACAAATACTCAATATGCCCAAATGTGAACACTGGTGGAGTTTGGGGGAAACAGGCCTTCATATCTGGGAGTTGTAGTTGCTGGGATTATAGTTTATCTACAATCAAAGAGAATTCTGAACCCTACCAATGACAGAATTGGGCCAAACTTGCCACACTGAACTCCCATGACCAAAAGAAAATACTGTGTTTTCTGGTGGTCTTTGGTGACTCCTCTGACACCCTCTCACAACCCACCCAAGTCATGAAACGCTGTTTTAAAAGTTCTTAATTGGGTCTGCCAAAGAGTGCTAGTGGAGGGTGAAAGAGAGAAACATGCTAAGAGGAAGGCGCATCAAGCCAACCCAGACCGGGACCGCCTTCCACCTGGAAACCGATGCCCTCACTGCGGGAGAAGATGCAGATCAAGAATAGGGCTCCATAGTCACCTACAGACCCACCCTGGAGGATTATCCTACTCGGATGAGGGCTCACCTAAGTAAAGTAAGTATGTAAGTAAGCTAGTGCCCCACCAAACTTTTATAGCATTGAGCCATGGCAGTTAAAGTAGTGTCAAACTGCATTTATTCTGTGGTTCCGGTGAACCCTAAGCTAAAAAAGCCTTTGCAGGTAAACAAAGGGACCAGACAAATGTCACCACTGCCTTTCCAAAAAGAATTCAGCTCTCCACCTCTCAATGCAATTCTCCTTCAGTCTCCAAATTTCTAGCACACCTTCATTTGCTGCAGATGCATTATTTTGGTAATAGAGCGGCCTCTTTTTCTAGGGATGCCTGAAGTGCATTTTTAGAACGCAGATACTACCACTCTGAGGAAAAGGTACTCAGAGTAAGGCATCCCAGGAAAAAACCCAGAAAATTTTCCTGTCCCAAAAACTCAACTTAACTCAGAGTATTAATTCACTTCTTGCGCCCATTAATTGCAAACAGTGTACTGATGGGAGAGCCACAAGAAGAGGTGCACAATGCAAGAATCAGTGCCGTCTTAACCCTACAATACACCTGGATATTCAATACAATATACAATACTGCCTGGATATTCCCGATTATATGGCAGTGCGGAAGGGTCCTGAGTCTACACTGCTAGATAATCCAGTTCAAAGCAGATAATGTGCATTATCTGCCTGGATATTCTGGATTATATGGCGGTGTGGAAAGGCCCTGGGTCTACACTACTAGACAATCCAGGTTAAAAAAGATAATATGAACTATCTTTCTGGATATTCTGGATTATATGGCAGTGTAGAAGGGCCCTGAGTCTACACTGCTAGATAATCCAGTTCAAAGAAGTTAATGTGGATTATCTGCCTGGATATTTTGGATTATATGGCAGTGTGGAAAGGCCCTGGGTCTACACTACTAGATAATCCAGGTTAAAAAAGATAATGTGAACTATCTTCCTGGATATTCTGGATTATATGGCAGTGTAGAAGGGCCCTGAGTCTACACTGCTAGATAATCCAGTTCAAAGAAGTTAATGTGGATTATCTGCCTGGGTATTTTGGATTATATAACAGTGAGGAAGAGCCCTGAGTCTACACTGCTAGATAACCCAGTTTAAAACTGATAATGTGGACTATCTGCCTGGATATTCTGGATTATATGGCAGTGTAGAAGGGCACTGAATCTATACTGCTAGATAATCCAGTTTAAAACGGATAATGTGGACCATCTGTCTGGATATTCTGGATTATATGGCAGTGTAGAAGGGCATTGAATCTATACTGCTAGATAATCCAGTTTAAAGATGACAATGTGGACTATCTGCCTGGATGTTCCGGATTATATGGCAGTGTGGAAGAGCCCTGAATCTACACTACTAGATAACCCTGTTCAAAACTGATAATGTAGACTATATTCTTGGATATTCTGGATTATATGGCAGTGCCCTGAGTCTACACTGCTAGATAATCCAGTTCAAAGCTGATAATGTGGATTATCTGCCTGGGTATTCTGGGTTATAGGGCTCCGAGTCATGCCAACCCTTCACACAACAACCCTGTATTGTGGGCCAAGGATGAAGGGCAAGCACAGGAGTCGCTCACTGCACACAACCGCCCTGCAGTGTGGAGACACTTCCAGCCTGGCTGGCTTCCCTGCCCACTTTCCACAGGCCCCTCTTGGGAAATAAGTCACTACATCTTGAGAAGGAATGTAGGTAATGCCCGCCCGGTAAGAGGGCCCTATTCTTCCTCCCTCCCTCCCTCCCTCCCTCCTTCCAGGGTCGCGCTCCTCACCTGCCCCTCGAGGGAAGAGGCTGCAAGAGGCAGCCGGGACTCTCTCTCCGCCTTCTCTCTCTCTCTCTCTCCCTCGGATGCTGCTGCTGCTTCTCCTCTGGCGGCGCCGCAGCCTCGGCCACTTCTGCTTCTCCTCGGGGGCGGGGCCAGAGAGGGAGAACAAGGCACGTGACGCGCGGAGGGCCAATCAGGAGCCTTGGAGGGAAAAAGCGACGGCAGGCTTGAGGCTGAGGGAGAGGGTGAAAGGCGGTGGGAGGGGGGAGGAGGGAGCAGGTATGCAAAGGTCAACAACAACAACAATAATAACAACAACAACAACAATGCATGTGTATAGAATGGGACCTTCACATCTTGGGAGGGCACCCCATAAGCCCCTCAATCCACACAAAAATAAACATTCACCCATAAGCCCCCAATCCACACAAAAATAAACATTCACCTCAAAGGCCTCCACAAAGATTTGACCCCAGGCATGGGCCTACTTGGGCCCTCCCTCTAGTCAGTGTTTCTCAACCTGGGGGTCGGGACCCCTGAGGGGGTCGCGAGGGGGTGTCAGAGGGGTCACCAAAGACCATCAGAAAACACAGTATTTTCTGATGGTCCTGGGGATTCCGTGTGAGAAGTTTGAGCCCTTTCTATCGCTGGTGGAGTTCAGAATGTTCTTTGATTGTAATGAACTATAAATCCCAGCAACTATTTTATTTATTTATTTATTTACTTCGCTTATATACCGCAATTCTCAGCCCAGGGGCGACTCACTGCGGTGTACCACATAGCAAAAAACAAGGTGCAAAATATAAGACACAGTATCAAATAATCCACAATTCAACATTATCAAAAAACATCTTCATCAAAAACATCATCATTACTACAAAAGCCATTCCGTGTCGTCTCATCGCCAAAAACCACAATCCAGTATCATTTTCCGTTGTTCCAATCCTATGGTCAGTTACCAATCATTGCACCTCAAGGAGTCTCTTTTAGGCAGTCTCTTTCAAATGAGTCTCCCTCATGGAGTGTCCCTCAATGGAACTCCCTGTGGTGCCCCAATTCTGGGCACCACCATTGAAGAGAGATGTTGACTCAAAGGTGGAATGTGTCCAGAGGAGGGTGACGCAAAGGATCAAGGGATCTGGAGAACAATCCCTATGAGGAGCGGCTGAAAGAGCCGGGCATGTTTAGCCTGAAGAAGAGAAGGCTGAGAGGAGATATGATAGCCATGTATTAATATGTGAGAGGAAGCCACAGGGAGGAGGGAGCAAGCTTGTTTTCTGCTTCCTTGGAGACTAGGACGCAATGGCTTCAAACTACAAGAGAGGAGATTCCATCTGAACCTGAGGAAGAACTTCCTGACTGTGAGAGCCGTTCAGCAGTGGAACTCTCTGCCCCGGAGTGTGGTGGAGGCTCCATCTTTGGAAGCTTTTAAGCAGAGGCTGGATGGCCATCTGTCAGGGGTGATTTGAATGCAATATTCCTGCTTCTTGGCAGAGGGGTGGACGGGATGGTCCATGAAGTCTCTTCCAATCCGATATCATTTCTGTTGTTCCATTCCTATGGTCAAATTATCAATCATTGCACTTCTTGTTCAAATGCCTTCTTAAACAGCCAGGTCTTTAATTTCCTGCGGAATATCAACAGGGAGGGAGCTAGCCTGATGTCCACGGGAAGGGTGTTCCACAGCCGAGGAGCCACCACCGAGAAGGCCCTATCTCTCGTCCCCGCCAGCCGTGCCTGTGACGCAGGCGGGATCGAGAGCAGGGCCTCCCTGGAAGATCTCAAAGTCCTCGTGGGCTCATAGGTCGAGAGGCGGTCATACAATCCCCAAATGTCAAGGTCTATTTTTTCCAGACTCCACCAGTGTTCACATTTGGGCATATTGAGTATTCATGCCAAGTTTGGTCCAGATCCACCATTGCATGAGTCCACAGTGCTCTCTGGATATAGGTGAACTACAACTCCCAAACTCAAGGTCAATGCCCATCAAACCCTTCCAGGGTTTTCCATGGTCATGGGAGCCAAGTTTGGTTCAAATCCATCGCTGGTGCAGTTCAGAATGCTCTTTGATTATAGGTGAACTATAAATCCCAGCAACTACAACTCCCAAATTACAAAATCAATCTTCCCCCAACCCCACTAGAATTCACATTTGGGTGTATTGGGTATTTGTGCCCAGTTTGGTCCAGTGAATGAAAATGCATCCTGCATATCAGATATTTACATTATGATTTATAACAGTAGTAAAATGACTGTTATGAAGGAGCAACGAAAACAATATTATGGTTGGGGGTCACCACAACATGAGGGACTGTATTAAGGGGTCACAGCATTAGGAAGGTTGAGAACCACTGGATCCCAGGCATGGGCCTACTTGGGGCCTCATTCTTGAGGTTTTGGACTTCAATTCCCACCATTCCTAACAGCCTCAGGCCCCTTCCTTTTCCCTCTCAGACGCTTAAGATTTGATCCCAGGCATGGGCCTTCTTGGGCTCTCACTCTTGAGGTTTTAGACTCCAACTCCCACCATTCCTAACAGCCTCAGGCCCTTTCCTTTTCCCCCTCAGCTGCTTAAAGATTTGACCCCAGGCATGGGCCTACTTGGGCCCTCACTAGGTGTTTTGGACTTCAACTCCCACCATTCCTTACAGCCTCAGGCCCCTTCCCTTCCCCCCAAATTTGACACCAAATTTGGCCACAAGACGCCTACTAACCCAAGGAGTGACCGTCACTCAAAAAAATCGATTTTGTCATTTGGGAGTTGTAGTTGGTGGGATTTATAGTTCACCTACATTCAAAGAGCACTCTGAACTCCACCAAGATGCCTTGAATCTTCCTTGAGGAGATAAAGTAAGATATAAATTAATATAATATAATAATAATAATAATTCCTTTTGGAAATTCAACTTTTGCATTAAGTATCATTACCAGGGACTGTCAAGATGCCTTGAGTCTTCCTTGGGGAAATAAAGTAGGATATAAATAAATATAATAATAATAATAATAATAATAATAATAATAATAATACCACCTTTCGGAAATTCAACTTTTGCATTAAGTATCAATGACAATAAGTCCAGTCATGTTCAACTCTAGGGGTTGGTGCACATTTCCATTTCTAAGCCTAAGAGCTGGTGTTGTCCATAGACACCTTCAAGGTCATGTGGCCGGTATGACTGCATGGAGCACTGTTATCTTCCCTCCGGAGTGGTACCTATTGATCTACTCACATTTGCATGTTTTTGAACTGCTAGGTTGGCAGAAGCTGGGGCTAACAGCAGGAGCACACCTCGCTCCACAGATTCAAACCTGCAACCTTTCAGTCAACAAGTACAGCAGCTCAGCGGTTTAACCCACTGCGCAACCGGGGGCTCCAACGTTTGGCTTAGAGAAGACATATTTTATTTATGTGCCTTTCTAGCAAGCAATTTAAGTCAGTGGCTGTCGCTATTTCTTGTAGAACTGGTAAATCCACTGTGTATGTCTGTGTGCCCTCAAGTTGCCTGTCAACTTATGCCGACCCCATTAATTCCATAGCATTTTCTCAGACAAGGATAACATCTAGATAGGGAAAAAAATGAAATATACAAAAATATAGGGTGGATGACCCCTGGCTTGAAAATGGTCAATGTGAAAGGGGTCTAGAAGTCTTAACGGACCACAACCTGAACATGAGTGTGATGTGGCAATGTGATTCTGGGATTCTTTCACTGCTGTACTAGAGGCAGGCTATTCTTCTGTTTTCGCCATCTGCTTCTTTGATCCAGGAACTCAACAGAAAAGCTACTGTTTTGTAGCAGATTTCTTATGAAGCGGTTGAGGTGGTAATCCTTTTTGATATAATAAATGTTTTCTCCCGAGAAAGCGATTATTTACAGTATTATATGCTGCTGATAGAGCCTTCTATCCAAGGCGAAAGAAGAAAGTGCAAACGCTGGGTTGCAGCTAAACATCAAAAACATCAAGATGATGGCAACCAGACAGATTGATAACTGGCAAATAGAGGGAGAAAACGCGGAGGCAGTGACAGACTTTGTATTTCTAGCCACAAAGATGATTGCAGACACAGACTGCAGCCAGGAAATCAGGAGACATTGTTTGAGTCCACAGTGCTCTCTGGATGTAATAATAATAATAATAATGAACAATAATAATTCCTTTTGGAAATTCAACTTTTGCATTAAGTATCATTACCAGGGACAGTCAAGATGCCTTGGGTCTTCCTTGGGGAGATAAAGTAGAATATAAATAAATATAATAATAATAATAATAATAAGAAGAAGAAGAAGAAGAAGAAGAAGAAGAAGAAGAAGAAGAAGAAGAATTCCTTTTGGAAATTAAACTTTTGCATTAAGTATCATTACCAGGAACTGTCAAGATGCTCAAGTCTTCCTTGGGGAGATAAAGTAGGATATAATAATAATAATAAGAAGAAGAAGAAGAAGAAGAAGAAGAATTCCTTTTGGAAATTCAACGTTTGCATTAAGTATCATTACCAGGGACTGTCAAGCTGTCTTGAGTCCTCTTTGGGGAGATAAAGTAGGATATAAATATAATAATAATAATAATAATAATAATAATTCCTTTTGGAAATTCAACTTTTGCATTAAGTATCATTACCAGGGACTGTCAAGATGCCTTGAGTCCTCCTTGGGGAGAGAAGGTAGGATATAAATAAATATAATAATAATAATAATAATAATAATAATAATAATACCACCTTTTGGAAATTCAACTTTTGCATTAAGTATCATTACCAGGGACTGTCAAGATGCCTTGAGTCCTCCTTGGGGAGATAAAGTAGGATATAAATATAATAATAATAATAATAATAATAATAATAATAAATCCTTTTGGAAATTCAACATTTGCATTAAGTATCATTACAAGGGACTGTAAAGCCACAAGTTACTCACAGATGTAATTCCAATGAACTTAATCCATTGATCATCCATTAATAACTTGAATATGCTTGGGCATGTAGTCTGATTTAGTTGTGAAGCCGGGACACTTCAGCTCTTGTGAACAGATTATTTGTGGCTCGCATGTGTTTTAAAGAAAGTTGCTAGTTGTTACTTAGTCGGAAGCACCTTTCAAACTTTCCCTTTTAATTGGGTCTGCTTAGAAATAGTTTGTG